TGCGGGGCGATGAGTTGAGGTGGGGTTGTTGTACAAGCCAACTTCTCTTGAGGATCAGAACTCCTGAAACTGAAATTTGTATTCATCTTTTTCGCTTTATTTCAATCGATAAACATCAATAGTTTTGTTTTATTTGCTTTGGTAAGCAAATTAATCTCCATGTTAATTAATTTTATATTAACCAGAATACCCTAGAAGGAAACATACACATTGTTGCAGCATCATGTACACTGCACTGAGGTGTACATACACCGCAGCACAGTGTGAGAAGAAGAGATACGCCGCTCACTTTCTTCTTTTTTTGTGCGTTTTCGTGCTGTGCAGAGAGCGGGAGGGGCTCGGGGTGCAGGAAAAAAGGTATTCTGTGTTTCTGTGTTTCTCCTTGCTGCTGGCTGGTGGCCATTTGCAACACTGNTGCAGGAAAAAAGGTATTCTGTGTTTCTGTGTTTCTCCTTGCTGCTGGCTGGTGGCCATTTGCAACACTGCTGCTCCTGCTGCTGTTCGCTTTGATGCAGCACCTGATCCCACCGGTACAACTGCACCAGAAGAGGAGGAGGATGTCGTGCTGCTCTCTTGAGTTGCGGTTGCTGCGGTGCCGCTGCTGGGGCCATCTGTGCTGCTGCCGCCGCCGCTGCCGGGCTCATCTGTGCTGCTGCTGCTGCTGCGGCGGCCATCTATGATGTCGCTGCCGCTGCCGTCTTCGTCAAGGGTCTGTCCCGGTTCAGGAGATGAGCGCATCCATGGAGAGTCGTAGTGTGCCGCCGCCTGCAGCATTGTGCATACACCCGCAGTGTACATACACCGCAGCTAGGGTGGTCCGTTCGCCTCTATGTAACAACGTATTACGTAATAACATGAAAATTAATATAATTATTATAAAAATAAGTGTTTTGATGCAATATACTTGCGGCTACAAGCTGTGTGAGTCTCAGTATACAAATATCTCAAGCGGCAAGCAGCCTGTGTGTAGAGAGCCTTCATATTTCACGTTTCGTGTTTTATAATGTGAATTGATTTCAATGATGTTCTTTACGTTTATTCTATGCTTGACTATCACCGTTTCTTGGTTAAGAAGTGTAAACCCTAAACCCTAAACCTAAACCCTAGGCGACAAACGAGATGTTTAGGGTTTAGACGAACTGGGTTTTAGTTTGTGAGCTTAGGGTCTATAATTTAGGGTTTAGGGTTTAAAGTTTAGTATTTATCTTACCATCTCTGCTTCTTTGTTTATTACATAATACCAGGCGAGAAGGATCACCCCTAGCACTAGAAAGACAGTTACCGTCTTATGCTGCACCAGAAAGTTTTTTGTTTCTGTAGTTTGCCCCAGCAAGGAGTCTTCAGTTGAATAAAAGCTATTTGCTTGTCTTACTCGCAGCAGCGCTTCTACGAGATTATCTGGCGGTGCTACATTTGCTACTTGTTCATCTATTTCACCATATGAAGCAAGAAAGAGAGGGGCTTCTGACGCTTTAGAGGGAGTATGNAGCTGGCTCGCTATAGTTCCCCATTGTGTGGAGAGAAGCGCCAGCAGCTGAAACAGAATCAGAAAACGCATTTCGACCGCTCCAGCCGCTGCAGATGCTGCAGCCTCTTGTGAGCGAAGGGCCCCAATGCATGCGTGCAGCAGACAAGAACGTCCTGCGGGAATGTCTGGTTGGGTTTCGGTTGAGAGACAACCAAGCTCTCACTCAAACGCTAGAGGGAGAGAGTGTTCAAGAAGAAAGGCACAAGGAAGGAGACCAGGACCGGGAAGGGATCCCGGCAGGCGCTGCAGTTCTAGAGCAGAAAACAAACAGCAGTCCGGCGATAAAGGCATCTAAATAAAAAGAGATACTTCTGGAGCGGAAGAAACCCAATCGGGAGGAAATTTACTCAAGAAGCCTCAAGGCAGCGCCTCAGTTCAACTACGGGCGCGAAGAAGAGCATCTGAACAGGAGCAGGAAAGCTACGGTATATCTTCTGGAATCAGGCATCACAATAAAAAGGAAGAAAAGGAAAGCTTTTCAGAAAGAAAACATATGATTTAAGCTTTCCTAAGAGCTCTACATTTAGTGCTTTCCCCCAACTTATACGCAAGTTCAAGAGCTGCCCATACACCGTAGAAGTTGCACGTTCCAGCAGCCCATCCATACACCGGAAGCTGCAGTAGTTCAGCTGTGTTTCCTCTCAGTTTGTTTCTGCGTTTGTCTATTTACCCCCTAAATATATCACTAGAATTGCGCATTTATTTCCGGTTTTCAGATGATTTATTCAACTAAAAAGTCTGCAAGAGATTAAAGGCCATGCGAGCAACCCCAACCCCCGAACACCACGCCCGCGCCGCTCAATAGGGTTTTCTGTTGTTGCAAGTACACGTGAAAAACGCCAAACCACCTTCATAACCCTTTTGTTTTTGACTCATTTCTGTCATTTTATTGCATGGGGACCGCTTGAAACGCGTGTTCCCGTCGAGTTTCCACGGCAGAGGAAACGAATTTTCATACAGCTTCCGTCCGTCTGCCTACCATGATCAAGTCGGTGGTCGTCGTGAACACGCAGGGAAAACCTCGCATTGTGCGTTTCTATGACGGAACTGTGAGTATTATTTGCTTCTCTTCTTCTTCTCAAGGTTACAGACACACAGCACGCATGCATGCAAGACCACCGCCCCCCTCAGCAGCAGCACCGTTGCTAGCATCATACATCCTTGCGTTTCTCTGCTGCTGCGCTGTTCTTTTATGCAGCCGCAGGAGAAGCAGCAACATGTCATGAGGTCGCTGTTTGCTGCTGTCAGCCGGCGGCCTGATGAGGGCTGCTGCTGCTTCACAGAAGACCCAGAGCTGTTTGGCCCGAACCACCGCATCATATACAGGTACCCAAGCCCCTCTTNTGCTTCACAGAAGACCCAGAGCTGTTTGGCCCGAACCACCGCATCATATACAGGTACCCAAGCCCCTCTTGCTGCTGCTGCCGCTGCTGCTGCGTCTGCTGCTGCATGCGCCACTGCATGCGCTGCTGCTAGACCTGCTTCATCTGCTGCTTCAGATGCTGCTGCATCTGCTGCTAGTGCTGCTGCTGCTGCAGCAACTGATGAGAACCTCTTTCTGTTGCAGGGCTGCAACGGCTACTCTAGCAACACCAGACACAGCAGCTGCTGCTGCAGCAGCACCTGCTGCAGCAGTAGGTGCTGCAGCAGCAGTTACAGGAGCAATATCCCGTATTGCGGACGCAGCAGCAGCAGCAGCAGCTGCTGCTGCTACTGTGTTTGTAGCTGCTGTTCTTTGCATGCGTTGGCTGCTGTACAGACACTTCGCTACTCTGTACTTCATCTTCGTGACAGATCACCTGGAGAGCGAGTTGGGTATCCTTGATCTCATACAAGTGAGTGTTTACTAGGGTTTAGGGTTTAGGGTTTAGGTGTTTGAGGGTGGAGTTGATGACTCCTCTTGAGCCAAAGCAGAACAAAAGAACAGCAGCGAGTGAATACAGCACAGAGCCGTCGCAGCAGCTGCAAGCGTACTTGTC